TTCTAAAATTAGAAAATGTTTAGGTATGGTTACCTTGATTATCAAGCAGGCCATTTTGTAAGCATAAGTAATAGTGTAATAGCGTGGTAGATAAGAATCAAACTATTTATTGTTTGTTTTCTGCCGACACAAACACAAACGTATCATTAATTTTGTTTCAGAAACACAGTTTATAAGTTTTAATGAATCATTTTAGATTGCATCGTTACGAATTAAATTTAGGTTGACACCACAAGTAAATTTTACTTGTTTAACAATAAATTTTAAGTTGTGTGGCAATGATTCACACGTTTGTTTTTTGTTAGGAAATCGGTCACTACATTACCTGTGTCAATACATAAACACGTAAACAACAGAGCCGACATATTTGATCGATCGATTCGCTTGGTATATCATCAATCATATTGCCTGCTGTTATACGTATTAGTATGACCTCTAAAACAATATTGGATCAAAAATACTGGAAACAGCTCATCTGTTCGTCCAGCTAAAAACATCATTATATTAGTCTTCTTCAAATCTACTGGACAATTTCCAAAGTAACGCTGTATATGTCCAGGTTCACCTTGCACTTTTGCGCTTTGTCCGTTTGATTCGTTTTCTTTCTTTCCTCATTTAACCATCAACTCTTAAAACTTCATGCCAAATTAACAGGTGAAATTTAATAAGTAATGTATACGTCCGTATACTGAATGTCAAATCCAGAATGATTAATTACGTTTGTATGCAAAATGTCGCATGCAAATTTGTTATACATAGTTTCGAACCTTTAAGCCGTTAATAATGTCGTTATACATTTAATTTCAACGGAAACACAAAATATCAAACATTTTATTATCAAATTTTATTTGTGAAGGTATCAATAGTTATCTCAGAAGAATATAATGAATGGCACAATGCAGTATAATCTCATAGAAATATATCAATATATGTACATATACTTATTAAATATTTCAATCTATAAATCCACACATCCTGCTATTTCAGGGTCGAATAATCGCCCATTGTTCCACTGAGGACACAGACCCTGGTATATCACGCGCTCGCCTCGACAGACAGCAAAGTAAGGGGTCCTCTCTCTCCCGGCCCACACGTTAAGTCCGTCCGGTTGTCCGGAACAGCTGGGGTGACGGACGCTACACGGCAAACAGTTAGGACATTCACACTGGTTAGCCCTGTAATCACCCGGTAAAAACACAACCAATATCAGAAGTGGTCGGAGCGAGATGACAATACGTTGACATTGATATTGAATACCGAGATATACACTACATAAGTAAAATTATATCTGCTATTTGGTTTAGAGTTATCGCTCTTATTATTTTTGTTTTTAATAATTGATAACCTGGCATTAACACAAAACATATCAGTAGTTCTTGGATGGAGATGACATGCTAAGATTTGTGACTAGTTTCTACCACAATTTCAATTATCTTTATATCATAAAATTAAGAATTTGTTCCATTTTCGGAAAAGAGACGGCTTTATATGTCTGCTTGGAAGCCACTGCGATATTTAAACTTTTGTCCTTTACTCTGGCACTCTTGTTCCATGAAGAAAGTCAGAAAGTTAGGCAAGATACAAGATAGAGCTTTAGGGTTTTTACAAAATGATCACAACTCATCGTTCAGGCACTTACTTAGTATGACAAACAGCGATAGTTTACATGTAGGTCGCCTGAAGGATATGGGTTGTGAGGTTTTGAAAATTATAAACAAAAAGGTCTACTGAGTATTTGCACAATCTTGCAAAGATTAAGATGTCTAGTCGTGACTTCAGGGAAGAAAATACTATAGAGGTGCCCAGGGTCAACACTGTGAAGTAAGGACAAAAATCCTTTGCGTTTGAGGCCGCTCTGGTGTGGAACAGTCTCCTTAATGACTTCCGAAAAGTTGATATATTCATAGAATTCAAGAGGCAGGTCCTTTCCTGGGATAGCCCCATATGTCTTTGCAATATCTGTTAAGTGTGCTACTTTTAATTTTGCCCTGGTTACCTCTGCTACCCGACATTTTGAATTGTTTATACATGTACTATTGTTGTTGTATCTCGTTTCGTATATTAAACTATTCTATATTTTTGCAGCGTTGTATTCTTATTTTAATTCCATACATTTCTAAAATATATTTATTACAGAATTTGACAAACTTCGTTAATTGATTTCAGTATCATGTGTTAATTTCACACTATATTAGTGTATGTTCTATCAATTTTTACTCTTTGCTATATTATCATTGTATATATCTTGATAGTGCTTTGATCCTAAGTAATTTTTGTGTGATATACAACTATTCACTATTAACTATGTCTTTTATTAACTTACATTGAATACTACTACAAAAGTGTCATGTCCAAGGGGCCTTTGTAGGAAGGGGATAACCAATCACTTAGAAACCTCGGATATGATGCTTTTTTTCTGTGACAATTATTATTGATTTTATTAATATTTAAACTCCTTTCATAATAATGAATATGTGATTATCTCCCTTTCCTTGTGATACAACGTATTAATGTTATTTTACATATGTTTGTCGCATTTATAATATTAGCTTTCAAGAGCTTATCTCTTTGTTTACATATATGCAACTTTAGATAAAGTTTCCTGTAACTTGTATCGTGTGCAAAGGAAATTTTAAATTTGAAGAATTCAAAAGATCTTTTTGATTAGACTCGAAATTCTTTATTTTATCAGTTCGCTTGTCCATTTACACAACCATACCTCATGCTAAACTGAAGTAGCGTCTGCCATCTTTTATCGTGACATATTTCATTTCCAAGAAAGACCAACTGCGATATAAATATATTAGTGTGAATTATTTTGGAGTATATTTTGTGAAAACACAGCAAAGACCAAAATGAAACGAACTTTGGATGAAATGGTTAGAATGATTGAGTTCCTGGTTGACAATATCTTTGTTGACTTCCGGTTAACAAACGTTGTCCCTCTTCTGGCCGATTTGTTTTTGTTTTCATATGGAACTGAATTTATTGATGAGCTTATCAGGGCTTATAACAAAAACCTAGTCAATGTTTGGACTTTCCATTCCGATATAGAAGAACAAGAAATGAATGACCACGTCGATCGTTATATCCTCCTGCGTACGAAATCAAGGACTACATGGTACAGGCTTTTCACCGTCAGTCGCATGCCCCTATCGATGTTGCTTACAACAATACAAACGGATGGTTTAATGTTAATTGTAGGATAAAGATAATCTTGAAACCTGAGAAGAAATATTCATTAATGTCTTGCAAAATATTTGATAATAAGTGTACATTGACGATTTCCTAGATAATGAATCAAGCTGTTAATAATTATTATGAGTCAATATTTTCGGTATATATTAATGATATATAAATAAAAATACTAATAATAAAAATACGTTTAGAAGCTCGAATATTTACACAACATAACACTAATTTCAATAACATAGGGTAAAAAAGATGCCTCTACATATTTACAATTATGTGAAGTACACAATCCATGACGCCGCGCATGGAATGACCTAATTAACACAAGGTTATAGTCGATTTCCTGATTTCTGTAACATTTTAATTATATGTACTTTTATCGTTTAACACTAGTTTGACGTCATAATCACTAGAAGTGCGACGCAATTATCTAATGAGTGAGGAAATACTGATATAGCAGGGACATGTTAACGCAACTGTACCGATAACACTGTACGGATAGATTGTTAACGTTATTTTAATGACATCCAAATAATCAAATAACCACGGTTTAGTCTAGTATACTTATAAGTCATGTTTCCCTAAGTAATACCAATGCTTTTAATATATTTCTTTGCAGTGTTTCCTTAGCTAAACTACCATTGGAACTGGGTCTGTGTTACATAAGCGTTTATCACATGATGGACTGTGTTACTTAGTGAATATACCCATGTCATATTTTTTTGCGTATTAACCCATGTTATAAGACCTATCAGCCCTGTGATTGGTTGAAAGTTTCAATTGTTACAATTGTGACGTCACGCCTAGGACAAAATCATGACGTCACATACTTACGCACTGGAGTCAAAATGGCGGATTTGTACATTTCATAGTTGCATTAAAATTGTCGTTTTACACGAATAAATGTCACAAATCTTGATTATGTGATAAAAATGATCGTTTTCATTTCATACGAAATTTATGAAACTCGTCACAAATTTTTAAAATTAGCCGAAAAATTCCACGACTCATTTAATAAATCTCATATGAAATGGAAACACATGTAAGATCCTGTATTTATGTCCAGTATGAAGCTATTTGATAATTTATGTAATTACTAATTACATATTAGTCATATTTGTAATTGTATACTTATAAGCATACCATTCAAAGTATGTTGCACTGAGACTTGTAATCAAAAGTGTTTCTATTGCTTTTTGTTTTTCTCAAAACTACCATTTTAATTGTATTTTGCTAGAGCGTGCTTATTTGTCTATGAATATAAAATAGAAACAAACAGATAAAGACATAAAGAAAGGGGTTAATATCTGGTTTCAGAAAGCTGACCATTCGCCAACATCTGTATTGTAAGGGGTAGGTACATAGTGAGTTCGAAGTCTCGCCTTCTATCACTTAGTCATATACCAGTCATGTCATCGAAATCCAACCATGACGATATCTATGCTGGGGTTTGGTACATAGTGAGGACAAAGTCTAACGTTTTGTTGCGTAGTCTGACCTTACTCAATAAATAGTTCAGGTAAGAACGATACTTTTCTGCTATGACAAGCGAAATATTTAGAGATGACCACCCTTGTTTGAGACTTTAAGGGAGGAGAAAATGCTCCAGGTATGAAGCAGACACACACCTATTGATATAGCACCTCACGTGTGTCCACAATAACATATCTAAAATACCTGTCATCCCGGGGTTGTCCGGCAGACTGCTCCATTCATGTTTGATCGTATTATATCTCGTCTACAACGATAAAGCACGTGGGCAAGGGTGGGCGACAGTGGTCAGCAAATTATTTCAAAATGGAGTCATCATCACGTCTGTGGGATGATGATTATGTATATAAGGGAGGTTTGGGCAGACCTAGAATCAGAAATAAACCCAGAGTTTAGGAAACGACTCGGAGAAGGAACTGACATAGTTGTCAGAATGAATGTGGTTGTTTTATTATCAGCTCTCGCTGTCGTCTCAGCTTTTGAAATGAACAAAGAGTGGGAAGGTACCATCGGTGTAGAGTGGAAAGAAGACCCGGCAGATTGTTCCGTGTTCTATCTGTGGTACAATGGACGGCGAACTAAATACTCATGTCCCGGAACCATGGTTACAGACCCAATCAGCAGGGCTTGTGTGCCGAAAGGGTCTAAGCTAGACAAATGTGAGTAGATCTTTCTGTTGATATTTTTGATTGAGATACATCAACAGTTAAAATTATTTTATTAAGTCCAAACAAAATAATTTTATACTGTGAAACGTTTATAGTCAGTAAGTCTTTGGCCAGTTTTTCTGTGAATTAATTTTTTGTTATATTTTTGTTTTACTACAAAATTTCAAATGAATAAAACAATAGGGGCACATATATGTTTAATAATATATTTATCATAGATATTTCATATAATTTCAGGCTCAGAAAAGAACACGCCAGGTATCCCATGTAACGCGGCCTTGAAGGAGTCCTGCGCTAAATACACGAACTGCCCAGTTCCGAGTGAGATGGGGATGCCCGTCATACCGGAAGTACAGGAGTGTCCCTACCCTCTACTGTACGACGAGGACAGTAAGGGCTGTGCTTACCCAGACACAGTCAAATGTGGGGACAGAATCGAACCCAAGGATCCATGTTAGTATACATTAATATCATACAATCTGGTTAGCTGGTTATTCTGATGCGGTCGAACACAATTACATGTTTGATGTATAGTATTTGTCATTACACTGGTTGTGACGTCACAAACATCTATGCTAACAAAACTATAACGCCGTGAATTTACGAAGGAAAATACAAATCGCTTTTGTATGATGTTTTTCATTCTTATTTTTGTAACAAAATGTATTATCTTAAATAGGTAATCATTGATGAAATTCATTTTGATTAGAATCGTCAATGATACATTTATATACACAGGAGTATGGGCCCCTTTACGTTTGCCCGATGATTTTTATTTTATTTTATGAAAAAGTAATACACTTATTTCATAAATCCTGATTCTAACTGAATGATTACATAATACAAAAGCATTCATATTTATATTTTTAAGTTAGTACGCTCATTATTAAACACAATACTAATCGGAGTAATAATTCCAAACTAAAAAGCAGATTTAATTTTACTTAATTAATATATAAATCCGAGTATTCAATATCAATGTCAGCGTATTGTCATCTCGCTCCAACCACTACTTATATTTGTTGTGTTTTACCAGGTGATTACAGGGCTAATCAGTGTGAAGGTCCTAACTGTGTGCCGTGTAGCGTCCGTCACCCCAGCTGTTCCGGACGACCAGACGGACTTAACGTGTGGGCCGGGAGAGAGAAGACCCCTTACTTTGTTGTCTGTCGAGGCGAGCGCGTGGTGCACCAGGGTCTGTGTCCTCAGGGGGACAAGGGGCGGATGTTCGACCCTGAAATATCAGGCTGTGTCGATATCGATGTATGAAATGAAATATATAATAATTGTATGTAAATTTTGCTTTATTCGCCTGAGATTACATGTGATATTTTACCGATATATATCTTTTATAATAAAAGTTACTGATATTCTTTTCGTGTTTTCGATTTTGTTCTTGTCATGAACATGAAATGGGTTTCCGACAGTTGTGTCCTGCTGAGACACAAACAGTGTGTAGAGGGGAGATGGATCCATACCCCGGTTACTGGGCAGGAGAACATGTATAACGAGAACACAAACAGTGCGATGATGATACAGCATTAGGCCAGAGCCTGTATCATCCTTCGTTAATACCCACAGAGTACTTCCCCATTACGAGTTCAAGGTCTGTCTCCCGAAACAACACCAGAATAAGTGTAAGTGGACTGTTAATTTGTTTACGGTTACACCTAGTCTGACAATACCACTTTACATTGAACGGGTGGACATATCTGAGGTGTACATCTTATTACCATAGGTAGTAGGCCGTTACTAATATCGAAAGTAAGTTTGGACGGTTTTGTACAAATGGGAGTGAAATAACGTGATTAATTGATTTTATGTTGTAATTGTATTTCATTATGATACACGTGCAGCTTACACAACATAGATTACCTGACAATAATGATTGTTTCCTGGTAGATGAGGATTTCCACCTGAGATTCAGTGTATATCATTTACAATAAGAGGCTATAACTGTAGGCTGTGTCGCACTGCTAATTTAATTCACACCTTTATCAATTGATAGGTGATAGCTCATGTTAAGACGTGGCTTATATAGCCTTAAACATATTACGTAGATAATCACAGGTTACACACGTGCTGACAGATCTATTCACTGACAAAGGATGCAATTCTAATTGTGGTACATAAATAAAGCACATGTTTCAGATGTTGTTCCAGGATGGTTGAATTTTGTCAAACTTTGCATTATGTATATAGTGAACCAAACAGTATAACACATACCTCTGATACATAGATCGTACATGTATGTAGTCAGGTATAAGTGTAAATCCACGATAGTCAGGCAGGGATAGAGAGGCTAGAAAAAATGGTGTACCTGATTTAGAAATATAAATAAATACCCCATTTTAAAACTAAACAGCAGCTGAGTTTTAATCGAATGCGACTTATGAACACACATGTGTATTTTGTGCAGATGTAAACCTTTTTTATACTGAGTCTATTGTTCTCGTTTTTTTACCCTTCGGCGGCTCTATATAGTTACACGCTTACCTTCATGCCGTTACTTACCAGTTTGTGTATTTTTTTCATTTCTTTTGCAAGTCAGATTCCAAATAACAGGACCGGATTTTATATCTATTTCAATGCATAATGATGTGCAAGCTACACTTGTGTTCATATAAAGCAATTAATCTATTGAAACTATCTGTATTCAATTATTTGAAAGATAGTATTAAGAGTTTATCATTAATTATATAGATATATTTATAAAACATAGCATCGCATAATGTCCAACCAAACGTCGAGTCCCCCATACCGAAGCAATCTAACATTACGATATTGATGTGGGGCAGAGTAGTGGTGTAGCAAGAAAGGGAATGTTGACAATTGGAAAATAAACATCGTCATGATTTTCCTTACCATTCCTAATAGTCATGTTGTAATTAAATAAACGAAACAAATATGTCTTGGTTTTTTTAGACGGCACATTGTCGAATATATTAAAGTGATATTTAAGGACTTGGTAGGGAAGTATTACTAGGATTAATACACTATTCAATAAAATCAGTCACATATGAAAACACAAGCAAGTTAGCCCAGAAAAGGGGCAGAGCTTGTTCCCAAAGGAGAGCCTGATGGAAGATCTTGCCATCGAACTAAAAAAACATAATTCGAACTAAAAATCCCCGATAAGACTAGGGCAAAATATGAACAATTGAAATACATGGATACTCTTTAACAAGTACAAGGAAAATAGAACCAGGTGAACCGAAAGGGTAAGCGTTGTCTGCTTTATTGATGACATCCACCGTATAAATCAAGGTGATATCCAGGTAATATCACGTCTTCAGAGCAGGGTATACGCGCAGTTATAACAAAAACAAGGCACTGTAGTGAGCATAATCAAACACATCGACCTACATATCGCACAAACACATCGACCTACATATCGCACAAACACATCGATCTACATATCGCACAAACACATCGACCTTCATATCGCACAAACAAATAGCATATTTCCTCTGACATCATGATGGTGACTACAACACTGGTCATACATGTAGTCTTTATCTACTTGTATTGATGGAAACCCTGTTGTATGTTTGTCCGCCAGCAGTCGACATCTATCACGGAAATCACAATGTTCGGAGCAAGCTCCTGAATACCGTATACACTGCGACATGTTAACGCTATATCAAGGGGAAATGTCGATCTTTCTATCACGAGAGACAAAATTCAAAATCGGAAAAAAACCTTCACGTGTATCGTACAGCTTAGTTGTAAGCCGTCCCTGTTGGTCACGGTGGAATAATGATCTTGTATCGGGCAAACGTAAAGGGGCCTATAGAGGCCTTGGTTTCACGTAAAAGAGGATATACACAATCGGTCAGGTGTCTGTTTCAGTCCTCATGCAATCTTGATTAAAGTCGATCTCGTATAAAAAAAAAAACACCATAAAAACACAGTTATTCCCACAGACATACCAACAGTCGTTTGCTGCAATCTCATATGAAAACAAAATCAGTTTGTTTCCACAAAAAATACGAGCAGTCGTTTGCTGTCAAGTCTTACTGCCTATCTTAACAAATATATTGCCAACCAGGAAATCAGTTATTCCCGTGCGTCCATCCTTTATATAGTCATCTTTGCATTATGCTGGAAAATAGTATACAATCCTACATTCATATTCACCGTCGCCAGTTTTTGGAAACAATATTTCATATTAAGATAACGAAGGTGTTCTGTCAGTTTGTATGAGGGATGGTAGAGAAAAGAATTTTAAAGTCAGCTGTTTTAACACTATTCGGGAGAGGATACTTAAATCTGATCAAAAAAATAATAATGAGCCTTTAAATTAATTCAAATCAAGTTTTCATTAATTCCACTGCTGATGTATAGAGAATCACAATACGAATGTAACCGTGATTTAGTGGTCCACACCAGGCAGGTCAGTGTCACTTTAGTTATATGGAAAGATTAAAATACAGAAGAATGATAAGCTTGTATTTTGTTCTTCTAAAATTAGAAAATGTTTAGGTAGAGTTTCCTTGGCTATCAAGCAAGCCATTTTGTAAGCAGTATAAGTAATAGTGTAATAGCGTTGTAGATAAGTTTCAAATTATTCATTGTTTTTTTCTCTCTGCCAACAAACACAAGCGTATCATTAATTTTGTTTCACAAACACAGTTTATAAGTTTTAATAAACCATTTTAGATTTAACCGTTACGAATTAAATTTAGGTTGACACCACACCTGATGTTTGCTTGTTTAACAATACATTTTAAATTGTGTGGCAATGATTCACGCCTTTGTTTATTGTGAGAGAATCGATCACTACATTACCTGTGTCAATACATTAACACGTAAACAACGGAGCCGACCATTGTTAGGAAACCGATCACTTCATTACCTGTGTCAATACATTAACACGTAAACAACAGAGCCGACCATTGTTAGGAAACCGATCACTACGTTACCTGTTTCAATACATAAACACGTAAACAACAGAGCCGATCATTGTTAGGTAATCGATCACTACATTACCTGTGTCAACACATTAACACGTAAACAACGGAGCCGACCATTGTTAGGAAACCGATCACTACATTACCTGTGTCAATACATTAACACGTAAACAACGGAGCCGACCATTGTTAGGGAACCGATCACTACATTACCTGTGTCAATACATTAACACGTAAACAACAGAGCCGACCATTGTTAGGAAACCGATCACTACATTACCTGTGTCAATACATAAACACGTAAGCAACAGAGCCGACATATTTGATCGATCGATTCGCTTGGTATATCATTAATTATATTGCCTGCTGTTATACGTATTAGTATGACCTCAATATTGGATTGAAAAAACTGGAAACAGCTCATCTTTTCGTCCATCCAAAAACATAATTTTCTATTAGTCTTCTTTAAATCTACAGGACAGTTTTCAAATTAACGTTGTATATGTCCTAGTTCACCATGCACTTTTGCGCTTTCCTTTTCTTTCCTCATTTAACCATCAACTCTTAAAACTTTATGCCAAATTAACAGGTGAAATTTAATAAGTAATGTATACGTCCGTATACTGAATGTCAAATCCAAAATGATTTATTACGTTCGTATTCATAATGTCGCATTCAAACTTGTAACACAAGTCGTTAATTATGTCGTTATACATAATGTCAAATCAAAAAGGTGTTTAATTTCAACGGAAACAAGAAAAACAAAAAATTGATATTTTATTATCAAATTTTATTTGTGAAAATATAAGTTGTAATCTCAAAAGAATATAATGAATGGCACACTTCAGTATAATCTCATCGAAAAACATCTATATATGTACATATATTTATTAAATATTTCAATCTATATATCCACACATCCTGATATTTCAGGGTCGAATAATCGCCCCTTATCCCCATGAGGACACAGACCCTGGTATACCACACGCTCGCCTCGACAGACAACAAAGTAAGGGGTCTTCTCTCTACCGGCCCACACGTTAAGTCCGTCTGGTCGTCCGGTACAGCTAGGGTGACGGACGCTACACGGCACACAGTTAGGACCGTCACACTGGTTAGCCATGTAATCACCTGGTAAAAACACAACCAATATAAGAAGAGTGGTCGTAGCGAGATGACAATACGTTTACTTTGATATTGAATACTCGGATATATACTAATTAAGTAAAATGCTATCTGCTATTTAGTTTAGAGTTATCGCTCTTATTACAAAATGTATTTTTGTTTTTCATAATTGATAACCTGGCATTAACACAAAACATATCAGTAGTATTTGAAGGGAGATGACATGCTAAAGTTTGTGACTAGTTTCTACCACAGTTTTAATTATCATTATATCATAAAATTAATATTTTGTTCCATTTTTGGAAAAGAGACGGCTTTATGTATCTGCTTGGAAGCCACTGCGATATTTCAAAAGTGCCCTAATTTAACAAGTACACAGATTATTATCTATACAACTAATTTTACATATTTTAGTAATTCTTTTTAGAGAAGATAAAACGGTTAAATGGCATACATTGTATATCGTTTAGATAGTTTTATTAAATGTAAATGCATCTTGGGGGAATCTTGACGACGCCAAGTTAAGATTTAAAAACAATATTTAAACACTGGTAACACTTTTTATGAAAAGAAAAAGAAAAAAAAAAGTTTTTATATTGGCTTCCGTTTTTAAATCAAACCGTAACCGTCGGTATTTTTATCTTTCGTCAATAATTTATGACATCATAGAATTGATACTTGTGATGACATACCAGGTGTTATTGCACGTGAAATACCCTTGAAACATCACGCGATGTGATTGTGTTATTACGCTTTAATATGATATAAATATAAAAAAACGTCCAAGTACACGCATACATTTATCTTGACGTATGCCGTTTCTACACTTACATGGATCCTTGGGTTCGATCCTGTCCCCACATTTGACGGTGTCCGGGTAAGCACAGCGCTTACTGTCCTCGTCGTACAGTAGAGGGTAGGGACACTCTTGTACTTCCGGTATGAAGGGCATCCCCATTTCCCTCGGAACTGGGCAGTTCGTGTATTTGGCACAGGACTCCTGCAAAGCCGCGTTACATGGGAGAACTGGCATGTTTTGTTTGGAGCCTAAAAGTATGCGAAATATCTATGTTAAAGTCAATTGTAATCAAATAAATACGTAATGTTGTTTTTCTATCTATTTGATTTTTTGTCTTAAAACAAACACATCATGCTTTATGAATTACAAATGTATGTAAAAAACTGACTGATTACCGTGATGTTGTTGCGGAAAAATAAGCAAATAACTTATACAATCGTTTATACGTTTTATAGTAACACAGATATTTGTTTATCAAAATATATCAGTGAATACGTAAAAAAAAATGGATTTATATTATTGCTTAACATTGCTAAATAATCTAGTCTTCATTCATTGTAATGGTATTCATTACCCAATTTAAACTATATTACATGATCATTATCATGTCAATAATAAGAAGATCAAAATGAAATACTTACACTTGTCGAAGGGCGATCCTCTGGGAACACATGCTTCACTGTCAGGGTCTGTAACCATGTTTTCAGGACAAACGTATTTAGTTCTCCGTCCGTTGTAACACAAATAAAAAACGGAACAATCTGCAGGGTCTTCTTTCCACCCGACACCGGTCATATCCTCACACTCCTTACTTACATCGAGCGCTGATGCGATGGCAAGAATTGACACCAGAACAAGTCCTTTCATTGTGACGTTTGTATATGGAACTGTACCAGTGTTTGGTGTATGTCTGGGAAATATCAATTGTATGCTCCGTAGTTTAATGCATCCGAGTATATATACTTTACTCTAACCTTCCCAAATTAAGGATGATACTATGATATACCATGGTAATCATTTTGCCTGTGACCGGAAATGACGAAGTAGATCGTCTCGATGACGGGTCACCCACACCATCACTATCATCACCTTACATAAATTCTTGCTTAATGTATAACCACGTCACACCTTCGAAATACTTAGCATTTTTTCTCTTGGTCAAATGTCCACTACTGGAGTGGCGAATTCTGCACCGTTTCCGGTCACATGACAGATGTTGGTCACATGACCGGGGAGTGCTGCGGCCTCTGTAGACTTTGCACTGTGTTTTCTCACCCTGGGTACCACCGTGCCAGGCTTGTACGTCCGATTATGAATATCATGTATTCTAGACACAGAGCACGTGACTGTTTGTGTATGGTGGTCATGGATTGCTTTGTATCCAAGATTCTGTGGGCGTTCTATGTTATGTTGAGCTATATTTAGAAGTTAGCATGGGTCTCCTCGTTTGTTTTGCTTTGAAAGCCGTAGGCGGTTAATCAAATGTGCATCTAAAAAATATAAAAACAAAGCGAAAGATTGATAAAATAACAAAAATATTTATTAATGAATATTAAAGCACTTCTTTTCAAGTGGATTTGAATCCGATGATTTTTAAAAAATTAAAGTAACAGATAATTTTCATCACCATTAAATTAAGGAATGTTGTAGTACAAACAGTGACGTAACTCTCACATTAACATATTAACCTTATTGACGAGGATCTGGTAATCGTGATCAAAAGGGGTACAACATGATAACTGTTTGTACAGTTTATTTCGGAACCTTTGTCACCGTCTCCGACAAGGAGATTAGATGCTTCTGGTGTCACAAACACATGCAATACCAGCACCACGATTTCCCGACGTGACGTCATCCTGACGTTTGTAGTACTTGTTTGTGAGGTCAGCTTACAGGAGCGGTCAGTAGGGTATATAACGGGCTACATCTCATGGACCCTGGGTACAAACAACTAAGGCGTAGAGACTTTACGACTTCTAAGACTAAATAGCATTACGGAAACATTATTTCAAAAACATATAATAACACAATAACAACTTAAAGTGTATCAAAGTAAGATGGAGAATTTGATTGTGTTGGTGATGGGTGCGATCGTTCTCACAGAAGCTCGACAGATATGTGACGGTAATGTGGGAGTCCAGTGGAGGGGGGATCCTAAGGACTGCTCTGTATTCTACATGTGTGTGGGGGACGTCATGTCACAGTTCCGCTGTTCAAAGGGCACGGTGGTCGACGTGTACAGCAAACGGTGTGTGAAGGAGGGATCCGCCCAGGATAGATGTACATGTAAGTCTGTAATCAAATAAGTATCATAGTTACATAATAGTCTTATAGGGCATAACTAAACAGTGAACATTACTATCGTCTTGTTTCTTTACCATCATCGTTATTTATTTATTAGTCTGGAACAGGACAGTACGTTGCTACACGATATTATATCTGAGTCAAAGACTGTGGACGTTACACACGAAGTTAATATATTTTCACCTTTTCTAGTTGAGATTTGTTTGGAAAATATTTACGTTGAACAAACTCGATTGCTACTGAACCAGACGTGTTTTGGTAAACAGTAGGAACGCAATAGGAGAGTCGAAATTGTCTGGCCATGTTTGATGACAATGGGGATGTTATTTTGTCAAACAATTATCTAATATGGTCAAACATCGCTAATGGTAATTTTATTAAGTTTATATAAAGACGTATGTCTTGTTATAATTGGTTACTGTGGTGATGTGAGTTAACTTAACGAAATGACCCTCACTATGACATACAGCAAGTGCATTACACGTACATACAATATTATGATTTAGTATGGTTTTATTGGATTTGGCGTCCGTTTAACAGCTAAGGTCATTACTACAACCCTGAAATACTATGCCGAGGGCATTACTCTGACTATATCAAGCGGTCACATCGTACCGACTGACAACCAGGTTTTGCGATTACCCTAAGTGCTGAACGTTAAGCTTTGAATTAACTACCATATTAAGGACTTGGGCGAACGTTCAATATTAAAGCCAAATATAAGGTATTGCCTAGCAGAGCACTAGGGAACACAAATGTTGTTATGAAGTAGGAAGATAACGTTAAGATTCCAATTGTTGCAAAGAGGGCGGCAGATTTATTTAAAGGTCTGTTGAATTGAAATGTATATATACATAAATGCATGCTGGATTAAAACTTATGTCACATTTTCGTTAGTGTTGTCCGTTCAATTCTAGTTTGTTTTCTTGTTCTTGTTTCCTAAATACGTACAAAATACGTTTGTACCATGTAAGATTGTTTTTTTACATTCTTTTGTTTTGGATGATTGTTCTGTAGATGTCACTCAAAACATTAGCACGTGCCAGGGCGGTCAGACGAACCTAGGTGTGATGAGTTCCTGCGCTAAGTACATAGACTGTATAACGTCCCGAAGGACCGGGATCGTCACAGAGAGGGAGTGTTTATATCCTCAGCTGTACGACCAGGTCAGCGGGGAGTGTCGTCAACCGGAAACCGTCATCTGTGGTGACAGACCGGAACCCAAGGAACCATGTAAGTGTTTTACAACTCTTTCCTGGTGTTTTATGCTTCAAACGTAATTATTATACACTGTATCTTCTTTTTTATTGATTTTATTCTCCATATAATATATTGTTGTTCATTGAAGGCTGTCATAAAACCTATGTCGATTTAAGTTTACAGTGCCTATTTAACTGCTTAAAGTGCTATTACAGATTGTAATTGTCTAAAACTTGTGTTTATCAAACTTACTTCGAAAACCAGCGTATTCATCGAAAATAAAATTATAAAACTTGTGTTTATTTTAACGTACTACTGAATCTTGTTTTTATAAGATAAAGTCAACAAATACTCATATGAATCTAAAATTTCTATTAGAACATGTATTTAGCAGAACTAAAAATGTCTTCTAAAAATTATCTATTACAAAGTTTTTTAAAATTTACTACTGAAACTTATATTCATAGAAAAGTTTATCGAATATGTGGAACATAATGAAAAAAAATCCAAAACTTCATAAAGTTTGTACGTTTACAAAAACTCCACTAAAAGCTGTGTTTCTATAAAGTATTACTACCCTTTATCTATCAAATACTTGATTAACCTTGTGTTTATATCAGAGTACTATGTAACTTGTGTTTTTCTCAAAGAACTGTTAAAAGTCTGAATTTTCATCTGCAAAATAATAATCCCTTATTGGTCAAATTTCAGATACAAGATATATCATATAACATTCCGTATAAGAATAATATTCACTTAATGATAAACATCGATTTAACAAAAGGTGTCAAAAGATATTTTTTTGTAAAACAAAAGTTTTCCTCTGTGTTACAGGTGACTATGATGCCAATAAATGTAAGACAGCCCACTGCATCCCCTGTCGTCTGCGCATGCCCAGCTGTCAAGGATATCCGGATGGGCCAAACGTCTGGTCTGGAAGGGAACGATCTCCATATTATGTTGTCTGCAAAAACGATCGAGTTATTTTCCAGAACAAATGTTCTGGAGGAAAACCCCAACGGTTTGATCCGGTGTTAAAGAAATGTGTTGAATATACTCCAATTATTGTGTAAAAGTTTATTGTTGTAAATGAACATTATTACTTTGAGATTGTTTGCAGTAGTATTTGTTTTTGTTCCTTGTATGTTTTCTAGAATGCTTTATTATAATAAACTGAATTGTTATTGTTCAAAAGTTTTATTCTTGTCTATTACAAACAAAATCCAGTAATACTGTTTCAGATGCTAACGATGTAATGGAAAACCCTTAGGGAATATGCTATTGTGGATGTGTGTAAATAAAACTCGTGACGCTGAGGATATCAGGTTTAAATGTACTACGTGTACGTATATTTAAAAGTCAATAAATGACCTAATGGCACTCGCATTTAAAATAACATACGGCTTTAATGGTTAAAGGAGCGCTGTGCAATTAATAGTTTTATGAGCGTGTTAGAATATCACTTTCTTCTATCAAAATGTCTGACGATTTGAATCTACTCTACCATACCTCATACCAAACAGGAAAAATATTATTATTATTATCAATGCTTAACGGCCCATCAACACAGGATAGGTCATTAGGGCCAACAAATGGCCGACAAAAACAAGGGCTAAATCCAATTTTAAAGGTATGAAAAAGGAGAAAGAACACAAGAGGAAGAAAAGAAAAAAGAAAGGACAAAAACAAAATCTACACTATCTACATGGGACTCTGACGATTTACCACAGCCCGACCAATCCAGAGGCGGCCATCTGTATTCCAAACATCCAGGAAGGAATGCACAACGGTGCAAACCTAGCATTTGCGTCCCGGCCAAAGGACGTTATTATGACAGTTTCTTTTTCAAGAAATGTAAACGGCGATATATATGGTTAATATGTTATCTTATTTTGTGAAAAGCAGAACACAGGTCGGAAAGAATTCTATTGAGGATGACATTATGAAAGTAACCGAGTTCCTGGTTTACCATGTTTATAAAGACCTCCGTATATTTATAGTTTGCCCTAGGTTAATCGATTTCGAGTTCTAATTACAGATTACAGTTTTATTAACACCGCGGTACTCCCTTTTCTTAAAACAAATAAAGGTGTGTTTAATAGTTGACGAACGAAATGTTATAATTAAATAATTCGTGTAATAATTTAAACCATCATCACAAACATTTATCTAAACTAAGTCAAAGCATTATATTCATCGATGAAGGAATCAAATAACGAATATCGACAGTGTAAACAACAAAAAAACATTATAGATTGAAATTCTACTTCTGATGATGTTAACATTGCTAAATAAAACATCGGTAGGCAAAAATAAATACTGCGTTGCTATGCATTTTATGTCTAAACAACAGTACAACATGAACTATTGATCCATGTAAAGAGTTTGATTTTTTCTTTATTTTGTGAACATTTTAAAAGAACATATGCGTTGATTTTCTATTTCATGTATTGAAATAAAGATGATGACAGAATAACAGACCGTCTGGCTAGCATCACAGAGGATTGTAAATACACTTTTGTGATTTTGTTCTTCCAGTTTGTGAATGATGGCATGCACACCTTTGCCGTATTACCATAGTAATGTATAGTGTCAAATCTGTTATTCATAACGTATTACATATGTATGATATGGACACGATTGATGTTCATGTATACTGTTGAATCACATATACTTTCTCTCCTAGCTTGTCCTGGTGATACCGAACAGACCTGCCGACCCAGGACTACTAGGTAATTTTAGAATGTCAGTGTTATATATAAATACAATTGTCAGTCTAAACACATCCCCTCTGACTTCATTAAAAAGACATCGTCGTGTCACATGTCCATTTGTCAATACACCATGCATAACCCAACAACAACTCAACCTTGACGGTTTCCTCTTAACTACATTTATTACTTTGTGTTACACTTAATACGTTTATATTTCGCGGAGAATATACTGAAATGTTGTATTAGTTTAAAAAATAAGTGACATAACAATCCGCGACTGACATACACTATTGACCCTGTGATAGAGTGACTTAGGACTGTTGACTTGTATGCCTGTTACGCGAATTTTAAACTCTTGATTTCTTTTAACAGTTGTTTTGTTGACAATACGTTAATAGGTCGTTCAGTTATTTTGTTTAAATGCTAAATGAATTGTAAATAGTACCCAATATTTTATTCTAATGCATATAAAATGTTGTATAAACATAACGTTATCTTCTGTACGCTATTTTTTATTTCAACATTATTCCTACTTTTGTTTGCTGACAAATTGTTCTGTTAAAATCACCATATATTCTGTGCGCTGATAAACTGTTTTGTTAAAATTACTGCATCTTCTGTACGCTAATAAATTGTTTTGTTAAAATTACTGCGTCTTCTGTACGGTGATAAACTGTTTTATTACAATCACTATATATTATGTACGCTTATGTATTTGTCTGTCTGTCTGTTGTTCGCCAATTAGTTGTTTTAATTTCCCTATGGTTCAATGTGAAAATGAAGTGTCTGTCTTAGAACATTGTTGACCTATATACTTTACAGGATAGAACAGACGAGAGTATGAGTGATTAACAATTACGAAGTCGTTTTCCACCTCCAGTTTTATTCGTAAGGGTTGTTGTCTAATGTTTTGACACTGTTTCTGTCTCTTATCATCTGTACAATAATTGGTTGTAAACTTAACACTGTCTGTTATTTAATGTAAGACTCCAGTCTCACGATCAAAGACTTGCTCACTCTGACTCAGATCAGCTGTGACCTAAGTCACTGTGACTCAGATCAGTTGTGACCTGAGTACTTGCCTTGATTTGACTAGCAAACATTTGATAGGTGCCACATGTGGTGTATATTTTTTTTAAACCCGGTGTTGCTTCCGGTTTTTTAAGTGGTACCGCCAATGAGATTTGGGTGATGGATCAACGTTCTGCTTTTGTATTGGGTACAAGATACTTTACATTCTAAAACAACAATACAAATAATATCCGTTATTTATTATTAAAAGGTTTCGATGTTGATTTTAATTGGAACATTTGGCACACGAAACAACTTCAATACCAATTTGAAAAAAACAACATAAATTAATCCCTTTTGAATACCCTATTTTGACAAAGAAATCCTGGTTGAGTCTTATGGGAACTTGTAGACATCCTTAGACTGGAGACAGGTGTGGATGACGGGGTCGAACACGAACTTGTATCCAGCATTGGGAGACATACATTCCCCATGGAATACAACACGTTGATCTTTGCACACCAAAAAGTGTGGTGATTTTTCGCGGTTTTTCCAGGGGTGAATTCCGTTCGGGAGTTTCTTGCATGTTCCGAAGCGCAAGATGCATGGAAGGCAGGAAATAGTTCTACATTGGTTGGCAATGTATTCACCTGTGAAAGACAAAAGTAAACAATAAAACTGGTGATAATTTATCTCATTTCTTAAAATAAACAAATTTTATCTGAGGACATTTCCGGAAGAAAGATGCATGTTGAGGACATGGGAAGTACCGAATATCCAGGGTAAAGACAGGTTGATTCACAGACAGGCGGACAGAAGGTAAGGCACATTTCAAATCCTATTCCAAAGCATCATCGTATGGGTAGTCTAGTGATGGTGAAACCTTTTCTGAATGGATCCAAAAATCTAAAATTAATTTATTTTCAATTTCCAAGTAACTTCCTCTGTGTATAATTGCAGCAAGTGACGTAATGGTATATTGTTTTTAATTGTTCATTATTCTATATTGTATGGTGACGTAATGGTATTTTTATTTTAATGTTCAGTATTCTCTATTGTATAGTGACGTAGTGGTATATTGATTTTTAATTGTTCAGTATTCTCAATTGTATAGTGACGTAATGGTGTATGGATTTAATTGTTCAGTATTCTCTATTGTATAGTGACGTAATGGTATATTGATTTTATTTTTATTTTGATATTGATTTTTAATTGTTCAGTATTCATTTTAATGTTCAGTATTCCTATTGTATGGTGACGTGGTGGTATATTGATTTTTAATTGTTCAGTATTCTATATTGTATGGTGACGTAATGGTATATTGATTTTTAATTGATCAGTATTCTTATTGTATGGTGACGTAGTGGTATATTGATTTTTAATGTTCAGTATTCTATATGGTATGGTGACGAAGTGGTATTTTGATTTGAATTGTTCAGTATTCTATATTGTATGGTGACGTAGTGGTATTTTGATTTTCATTGTTCACTATTCTCTATTGTATGGTGACGTAGTGGTATATTGATTTTTATTGTACAGTATTCTATATGGTATGGTGACGAAGTGGTATTTTAATTTTTAATTGATCAGTATTCTATATGGTATGGTGACGAAGTGGTATTTTGATTTTCATTGTTCAGTATTCTATATCGTATGGTGACGTAATGGTATATTTATGTTTAGTTGTTCAGTATTCTCTATTGTATGGTGACGTAGTGGTATATTGATTTTTATTGTTCAGTATTCTATATTGTATGGTGACGTAGTGGTATCTTGATTTTTATTGTTCAGTATTCTATATTGTATGGTGACGTAGTGGTATATTGATTTTTAATTGTTCAGTATTCTCTATTGTATGGTGACGTAGTGGTATATTTATTTTCATTGTTCAGTATTCTATATTGTATGGTGACGTAGTGGTATATTGATTTTTATTGTACAGTATTCTCTATTGTATGGTGACGTAGTTGTATATTGATTTTTAATTGTTCAGTATTCTCTATTGTATGGTGACGTAGTGGTATATTGATTTTTATTGTTCAGTATTCTATATTGTATGGTGACGAAGTGGTATTTTGATTTTCCTTGTTCAGTATTCTCTATTGTATGGTGACGTAGTGGTATATTGATTTTTAATTGTTCAGTATTCTCTATTGTATGGTGACGTAGTGGTATAATGTTTATAAATGTTCAGTTTTCATATTGTATAGTTACGTAATGGTATATTGATTTTTAATTGTTCAGTATTCTCTATTGTATAGTGACGTAATGGTCTATGGATTTAATTGTTCAGTATTCTCTGTTGTATAGTGACGTAATGGTATACTGAAATTATTTTTATTTTGATATTGATTTTTAATTGTTCAGTATTCATTTTGATTTTCAGTATTCCTATTGTATGGTGACGTGGTTGTATATTGATTTTTAATTGTTCAGTGTTCTCTATTGTATAGTGACGTAATGGTGTATGGATTTAATTGTTCAGTATTCTCTGTTGTATAGTGACGTAATGGTATATTGATATTATTTTTATTTTGATATTGATTTTTAATTGTTCAGTATTCCTATTGTATGGGGACGTGGTGGTATATTGATTTTTAATTGTTCAGTATTCTCTATTGAATGGTCACGTAGTGGTATATTGATTTTTAATTGTTCAGTATTCTCTATTGTATAGTGACGTAATGGTGTATGGATTTAATTGTTCAGTATTCTCTATGGTATGGTGACGTGGTGGTATAATGATTTTTAATTGTTCAGTATTCTCTGTTGTATAGTGACGTAATGGTATATTGATATTATTTTTATTTTGATATTGATTTTTAATTGTTCAGTATTCTCTATTGTATGGTGACGTAGTGGTATATTGATTTTTAATTGTTCAGCATCTCTATTGTATAATGACGTAATGGGGTATTTATTCTTATTTAGCTTCCAAATATGAAAAGCAATAAATACTTAATAAGAACCTGAAGTCAGATATGTCAATAACACAATTTGAAGTAAATTATTCTCCCTCGTGGACAAACAGTTAATATACAGCATAACAACGCTATCACCCCCCCC